TCATCTTCCTGATCTAACCATTTCAACAATTCATGACTCCTCTTCTTAGTCATAAGAATGCACTAAGATGACCTTTAGAGGACTAATTGTGATATGATTTCTAAATCATTAAGATGATCACAAACATGATACTAAAGTACTCTCCCATCTTTTCAGATTTGAGAAACTTTTATCTTTCTGCCTAATTTGATTCTTCCCATTCGTTCTGCCATACATTGAGACTTTTCCAATGTTTCAGAATTATACTTAAACTTGTAAGTATAACCATATTTACTAAACTTTAGTAAATCAAATAGTCTTAACGAGCTTTGTGGTGGACATGACCAGTGCACAAGAATGTGTACTCGATCCCTTTAGTCCTTCACTTGACTCACACATCCATGTGAACAAGTAATTAGTCTTGATTTTCCAATGCTTGAAAGTTCTCATTCATCATACTATTCAACTTGCATGATTCCAAGTTTCGGTCCAATTGAAACTTGGGTGATGAGGAACTTTCCTGATTTGGTAAATTTAGACACTACCACAAATGAAAGAATCAAATCCATTTTCCAATATTGCTGTCAGTGGAATCATATAAGCAACAATTTTCCACAAATGCCATTGTAAGGATACTTCAAATAAATAAAATTAAACAATTTTCTTTTATTTTAAAACTTTGCGGAAAAACTTATCCTTACAATCCACATGGAAAATTGTTGTTATCTATTCCTTAGCAATATATCATAACTTCTTAAGCAACTGCTCAAAATTCTGATGCGATCGAAATCCACCTTCGCGATCAGAATCAGCATATACTTCCTTTAAGATTTCTCTCTATTCTTTGATTCTTAAAACATCAACATGTGACCCAGTCACATCATGTAATGAGGATCTCAGAATAGAACTTAACAGAGTTAGATAATGGGCTCTACCTGATGTAGAGTCAAACTTATTGACTTTAACATCCTTAGGTAAATTTGGCAGCTTTGCAATCAACGCCCCTTCCTTTGGCAAAATAAACATATGGACCCTTTGGTAATGGGACTATCTCAGACTTAGCCTTTCTCTTTACCATTTGGTCAACCGGGTTGACTATGGCCAATCCCTTTCCATTGGGAAGAGAATGCTTTTTCTGGATTTCCAGTGTCACCATTGTCACTGTCCATAAAGTTTTTGGGAAGTTGATCTTCTAATCAAATTTGCTTTACTATCGTTCCAAATCATTGCTGATTCAGCAGCACCAAGCAAATAGATATGATCATTAAGGTTCATGTCATAGTCTGTTTCATAGTAGTCCCAAAGGAACTCACTATGTGACTTAGAAAGTGATTGAACATCCAACTTTCTCAAGACTTTGACACCCAACTCTCCCGGCTTGTCAATATGTGACTTCATCTCTAAGATGTGATCACACATAGACCTTGCTTGCCATTAGGGCTTGAGTGACCTTGAACTTGTGGGTTAGGGAGAATAATTGGAGGAGGTGGAGGAAGAGAAGTATGACTTCCATGAGCCAAACTCGGGAAGTCATATTCATTAGGAAAGCTTGGTTTGGGAAGATCATTGTTGTCTAAACCAGACATCAACAATGGGAGAAATTCACGTAAAGTTGATTTAAGTCCTTAATATAACACCCAATATGATATATTAAGGCTAGGACCCAACAAACTATTTTATAACTTGGAAGAGGGATGCCGTAATCCAAGCTATAAAATATTTGAAGGTAGGTGAATGACGATTCACCAATTTCCACCAAGATAAACGAAATGTATTATTAGGTTTTAATTGGTTTTGAAACTCCTAGATTCTTTTGAGATTCATTGAACTTTTCAATGGCATGTTTCAATCTCGAGTGTGCCCTTCAGGTTTTGTGACTGGGATGCCGAGGATCACAAAACAAGGTGTGAAGTAACCATGCAAATATACTTGGTACCCTTAATATTTACCCCTCAATCGATGTGCCGGTTAACCACACACGCTCCAACGATACTATGATAAACATTAAGTTACCCTTTGCCTACCTTGTTAAGTCCAGGTTAGTGTGCCGGTTAACCACACACGCTCCACTAACAGCTTAAACAAAGTGCAAAGTGTAATTTCATGGATTAGCACCTTATTCACATTTTCCTAAGTAACTAAGATTGGGAATTTATAAGTGTTTAGTTACTTAGTATTTATCATTATACTTATAATGAAGGGAGAATTATAGTCCTTGTCCTACCTGTTCGGCTAACGACCCTCCACCGGTCAAGGAAGCGGTGAGTGAGAGTGGACACCCATTAAACTGCCATTTTATAGGCAGTAACCTTATACCCCCCTTATAGACCGGCTTCGTGAATGAGGCCTACTAATGGTAAGACGACTTGCTCTTATACATATAATATATTAAACTTTTAATATTATAATAGTATAAGGGTGTATTTTAGACATTTAAAATACTTGGTGGTTTAATCTATTAATTAAACTAGACTTTTAATTTAATTAAACTCAAACCATATATTTATGGATTAATAATACTCTTTTAATTAAACGCTTTAATTAACTATTAATAAAGTCCATAAGAGTTAATTTGAACTATTCAACAAAACATCATAATTCCAATTATTAAACTCAAAATTAAAACCATTTAATTAATTGTTTAAGTTATGAACCCAAGAGTTTTAGAATTCAATTCTTTTTTTTATAAAAAACTTTTCTCAAATTCCAAAACTTGAGGGCAAGTTTTGTAATTCTTGAAAACCTTTGGATTCCATAACTTATGGAATTAATGGTGTTTTATGATGAAACTTTCCATGTTCCATAACTTAAGAAAAGTTATGGAATTCTTTAAAACATTAACACCAAATTTTGTAACTCCATAAAAACTTTGAATCAAATTTTTTTTAAAAAAAAAACTTTCATATCCATAACTTATGGAAGTTTCAAAACCCTTAAGATCACAACTTTAAAAAAAACTTTTGAGCTCCAAAATTTATGACAAATATATAACTCCTTAAAACATTTAGATCAAACTTTTAAAACTAATAAAATAATCATATCATTTTATCTTTTACTAAATTTGACCTAATTCAACTCATATAACAAATGATTCAAATTTTACAAATAATTCGTTTTTCACAAAACAAGTAATTATCTTAAAATTTGACAAACGTCATGTTTTTTTTCCTTTTTTTCAACTTGAAAAAAAACATTTGCATCAATATAACAGAAAACAACCCATGGCTCTGATACCACTGTTGGGTTTTGAGCATTCTAACACTCCTATGGTGTACATGCAACCCTATAAACCTTGGATCTATGTTTTCTCTATTATACATGCAAATATTAACTATTCCAAGGTTTCATCCTAACTAGCATATTATGAAGCACCTATACTACAAAGTTCTAGTTAGATGACATACCTTTTGATGTAGCTTGATGTCTTCAAGCTTTAAGAGCTTAGCCCCAATAGTGTGGAAGCCTCAAATGGAATCACAAATCACCAAAACACCTTGGAAGAACTTGAGAGAATATGTATGCACACTAAAATCGGCCCACTCTTATTTTCACACACTTGTGCCAATTTTGTGAGCCAAGGACCCCTTTATATATTATGGAGGATTAGGGTTACATCCATGTAAACCCTAATACCCATGACCTTTCATTTACATAGGATCCATGGGTTAAAAGCTCCATGGACCATCCATGAAAGCTTAGCCCAACCTAAATGAACTTGGCCCATTCCATATATATAAGAGTCCATATTTAATTAGTTCTTTTTGATCACTTAATTAATTCTAAATTAATTCTTGATCAATACTAATTAAATAATATGATTCCATATTAATATATTAGAACTTATAATATATTAATATAAATCATAAATATACTATTCTCAAAAGACTATCCATATAAATTGTGCCGGTGAAGTGCAACCCAAATGGACCATGCCGGGTCGGGTCAAGTACATACCAAATATAGTTATGGACTTAGACATTAATCCAACACTTCATGCAGTGGGAAACGAGTGAAGCGAGTCCGGCAGGACGTCAAAGTTCCAAAAAGATTTGATAACCAAGCTTACAAGCTCGAATTGCCCGAAGAACTAGACGGTATTCATAACACCTTCCATGTTGTTATTTGAGGAAATTCATGGGAGAAGTTCCCGACATAATTCCAATCTCAGGTTAGGATGATGAGAATAAGAGGCTAATCAAAGAGCCCGAGGCTTATCGTTGACCGTAAGACTAGAAGTTACGACGCAAGATGGGTCGACTTAGTTGCTAGTCCGTTGGAACATACGAGCCGAATCTCACTTGGGAAACAGAAAGTTGACATGATGAGTCGCTATCCGCATCTGTTTGCTGACGCATGATCCGGGACGGACTCATCCTAAGGGGGAGAGAATTGTAACGCCCGTGTTTTGGGGCTAGGCATTAGTAGATGGAGAGGATCAGGGTGAGAACACCGGTTGTGAAGGATAGCCGGGGATATTAACCCGATGCGGTGGGTATGGGTCCGATGTCTGGTGGGGTCAGACAGACAATCATGGAGGAGGCTCATAAGTCTCACTTCTCTATTCACCCGGGGGCCACCAAGATGTATCGGGATTTGAGTTTGAGCTACTGGTGGCCATGCATGAAGCGAGAAATCGCTTGGTACGTCGATAGGTGCTTGACTTGTAGGATGGTCAAGGCCGAGCATCAGAGACCGCATGGCAAGCTGCAGCCCCTGGAGATTCCCATGTGGAAATGGGAACAGATCACGATGGACTTTATTACCAAGCTGCCGAGGACAGCGAAGGGGTTTGATGCCATATGGGTCATCGTGGATCGATTGACCAAGAGTGCCCATTTCTTGGCCATACGTGAGAGTTCATCGGCCGAGAAGTTGGACGACGTGTACGTCCACGAGATCATGGCTCGCCATGGGATTGCATCAGTCAAAACTCCTGTAACAAGTACTGAAAACAGAAGACCTGAACAACAAATGAAAATAAATAAATTAACTCATTTCTCATTTTCTAATATATCTTAATGTTAAATATAACGTTTACCTAGCACAACTTGATGAAGATCATAAACATCCTTTTTGATAAAGTAATATATGAGTATGACCACAAGTGGCAATAATATTGCAATAATCTGTTAAATGAAAAACCAAAAACAAATTAGTATGTAAAGATTTTGAAGTTGCATAACATTCATCAAAGATTGCTTACTGGGACAGCCCAAATGGGTACAACGTTGTATTGTAAAGGGTATTTTAGGTCTTCCATCATTTCTGCTCCAACAAAGCGGTGGAATGGTTCTATCACGTTCAGAATGATCTCCATGATCACAAGAAATATGAAAACAAACCAATCATGCATGTGAGCCCTTGCCACTTTAGTTCCATGGATCCTTATGGTATGCGCACCTAATTGGATTTCTGGCATTTCCCCTAAAGTTTATCCATGGTATGAATGAGTATGAGCAATTGAGCATGAACAGAGGAAAATGTATGAAAATTAGTTGTCAACATGAACCCGGTGATGAAGAAGCAAACACAAACATGAAATATTCGTATGTTTTCAATTTTCAGTAGATAATTTTGTGGCATGAGTTGGTGCGCAAAATGCCGAAACAAAAAACAAAAATCAAACGATAGCAAGCGCCAGAGCATCAAAAGTGCAATTGCAAATTCTCCAGAGTAGATGCAGAACTCAAATCAGTTACAAACTTACAATCAAGCACATTAGGTACGAATTAGTTCCTCACGAGTGAATTAGGCGAAAACCTAACAATTGCTACCTATATTAGAATAAACTGTGGTTCGAGAATTATGTAAAATCTATACAAATGTCCATTCTAGCGAAGAATCAGTACATAACTTCAAAATCTTAGAGAATTGTAACCGTGATAAAGAATAAGAATAGTTGTAGAGATTCTCGCAACATCGATACCTGAAATAACTTGAGGAGTGAGGGAGGAGCGTCTCTAATTTGGTCTTGTAGAGTAGACTGGAACCACACTTTCACTTTTAATGCAAGAAGAGTTGAGACAATGGAGTTGTGAATCTGTTCTTGTTTGCTTGATCTCACAGGGGCAAGTCCGTCAATTTCATTAAAGAATATAATCGAAGGTTGGTTTCTTTGTGCTTCTTCAAAGAGCAACTTCAGCTGTCTTTCGGCTTCACCTACCCATTTGGAAAGCACATCGGCTTTAGTAGTGCATGATCCATCTTACGTGAATTCTTTAGAGGGAACCAACCGGAGATCACTTTTCCGGTAGCGATCTCCTCCACAGGTATGTGATGGTGCGAGTTTGCTGTGGGTGAAAAGAGGAGAGTAACCAAAGGGCTTCTAGCCCAGCGGTATCAGGTGTTGCCCTCCCTCCTTGAGGTTGAGAGTTCAAGTCTCGTCTGAGACACATGTGGATTTAGGAGTAGTTTAGGAATATATTGTATTTGCCGTTCAAAAAAAAAGAGGAGAGTATATTAGGGTTTTTTGGGGTATTTGAGTTAGGGAGAGAAGTACGGTGGAAAGAAGGTAATAACCTGGCGGGCCTTTCAAACTTTTCGGAATTTAGTTTCCCCCAAAAGAAGTGACCCCGCGTTTCATTTAAAAAATATAAAGCGACATACTTAGAGGACGTGCATTTTATGTTATGTGCCCTCCGTGTTTTTTTTCAATGTGACACTTATTTTTGGACGCGCAAAAATGCATGCCCTAAATCCTTCTAATTTTTGGAGACCCAACATTATTTTTAGGGCACACATTATTGCGTATCATAAAACAGCGCGTGTCATGGTTCGCGTGTCGTAAAAGGCTGTTTTTTCTAGTAGTGCACGGCCGTTGTTCGTGGCCACGTCGACCATGACGAGCCTCGTGCTCAGTATACCGGAAGGTCTAAGTTACTTATGTACAGTTAAATAGACATATATGAATTTGATATTAAAAAAACAATACTGTATTTAAATAAATAGCTGAAAATAGAAAATTTATTATTTGTTAGAATAAAAGAAGAAACATCTTTTTGTAAAAATTTAAAGTAATTTTTATTATTTTATAACCATTACACGACAATAGTAGCTTGAATTTTCAAAGTTAACTTTTTAAAAGCATTATACGTATTTAACAAATAATTAAATATGATTATTAAATTATGTTAACTCAAAAGTGTTTTTATATAATTTTTATTTTGTGTATTTGAGGTTTAAGAATATGTTTTTGTAAAAAAGTTAAACCTAAATCTTATTCTTTTAACATATTAATTAAATGATGCTACAAAAGTCGAATTAATGGAAACATCATTATGATGCGGTTTATATGGGTCAGGGTCATTGAGATTGTACAATTTACTATATATTTTATTATGTTTTTAGTTAATTTTTAGTTAATTGTGCATCATCGAGAGTCAAACAAATCTATATATAAAAATATTTTTTTTGTGGTGAAAGCTTCATCAATACAATGTACTTGGGCATTTACTTAACATGATGGGTAGCATGGTCGGACCTATATTGACCCAAATAGTATGCATTTCTCTAAAATTTAGAATGATGGCTAGCAAATGTTAAATAAGATTATTATTAAAATAAATAAAGTTTGTGTCTCTTGGTTAGCAATAAAAGCGTTGCATATATAACACGTCTTTCTAACATGCATCCTATCTCCCAATAGCCTCTGCAATTGTCTATTATTCCCTCCTACAACCTCAAATGAGAGAGACAGAAGCAGGATGGACTGAAGTCTGTCGGTGAAAGACACCGGCGACCTAGGTACCCTCTGAACTTGTTTTTTCGTAACAAATATCCCCATGATAACCAATAAAGCAGAGGACTGGAGAACATTCGACAAATCTGAGAAAGTGGTAGATGTATTATTCATTGCTAACAGGAGAAGCAAGAATGGTGAAAACTTTGCATTTGTAAAATATCCAAACGACAGAGACACCAAAGAAATGTAGTATAGATTAGATGGCATCGAGTTTCAAGGAAGAAAGTTGTTGGCCAATCTCGAAAAACATAGAAGAAAGGAGCGGAAAGATGGTGGTGACAAAACAAACAACTTGCTACGACCCAAAGTTAACATACACAACCACTTCAGCGGACTAAGAGACAATAAATCATTTGCGGAAGTTACCAACCCTAATTTTAGAGCTCTGGCTGGGAGAGACAACTCCCTACTGATTGTCCTAAAACATGAATATGGTACGACGAACTGGTTGATGAAGATGACTCTGGTTGGGGAGGAACGGTCTCTTACACATCTAGGACATCTTTGTTCCCTTCTCTTGACTTGTGAGGAGGACGTATTGAAAATCAAATACCTTGGTGGGTTCAAGGTACTTCTACTATTCAGAAACTCGGTCCTAGCTAAACGATTCTTGGAGAATGAAAGGAGATGGAATGAATATCTGACATGGCTAAAAGTTGGAGACAAACTCGACACCACCTTTGATAGGGTGGCATGGATTCGAATAGTTGGATTGCCATTATAGCGTTGGGGTCAAAACAATTTCTCAACCATTGTTAGTAGATATGGGAAGACGATTTGTCTGTTTGAAGAACTACCCAGTCATGTTGATTTGTTTTGTGCAAAATTGGTATATTAATGGATCATAGAAAGAGGATTAACGATGAAATCCTGGTAACAATTGATGGAAAAGAGCTTAGAATTGGTATCATTGAGTTCGATGAGGACTACTGGGTTCCATTCCAGTTTGACCCGACTGAAAAGGAGGAGGAATCCGATGATGAAGATGAGGTCGTATCAAATACATGGATGGCAGAGGAAAATGATATACTAGAAGATGGTGAGATCAACCCAAACAGTAACGACGGAAATATCGACGATCGGAACAATGCCTCTGTCGGTACGGAACCTGAAAAGCCACCGATGGGGTTACGGGATGTGGAAGAGCCCCCGACACCTAGGGAACAGTCAACTAGGGAAGTGGAATCGTCTCATGGGGTAAGGGAAGAATTAATTATCAATAATCATTTGATCCCCATGGATAATGACGGTGACAACATTGGTGGGCCCTTCCATTCCCTAGTCCAACCTATTAATAGTGGTGGTATGTTAAACATGCTTGTGTCGTCTGGATGTTTTGGCCCATTCCCCATCCAATAATTTCGTGGGCCCGTAAGAAACTACAACACAGGGTGGGCAGACCTTGATTAAAAAGAAAAAGAGTTGACCCAATTTATGATACCTTCTTTTTTCACCAAAGATTCCTATTCCCTGATCTAGATCAGATAGATAACGAGATCGATGCCCTAAGCAATCCCCTTTCTTCTCATTCTCCTCCCCCAACATTTCGGTCGTAGTGATCATGGAGACTACAACTCAACCAATCGATCTAAATCTAAACCAAAATAGCGATAGGGTTGTACATTCATCCTCGACCAACGAATACACTTCTTCTTCCCTGGAATTGGAGAAAACAACAACAGTGGGTCAAGACCTTGGCTTCCAAATTGAGGCAGATAACCCGATTTTATTGGAATTCATGGGTGAGAATGGTGGAACCCGATGTGTTCAATGAATTGGCTATCTATTAATATCAGGGGCCTCAGTGAGGACCATAAGGTTACCTGGGTGAGAAGACTGAAGAATCAACATAACACTTCGTTCATTGGGATTCAAGAAACTCACATGAAGAATTCAGAGAACATTGACACTAGAGGTTGCTGGGATTCAGACTTGTTTAACTATGACATGGTCAAATATTACGGTCGATCAGGGGGATTGATGAATATTTAGGACTCTCATTTATTTCAAGTCACTAAAGTAATCAAATCTAGATGGTTTTTTTGATCAATGTGGGTCACTGGGATGGAATTCAAGGTTTGGCCATCTTTGTAAATGTGTATGGGCCTCAACCACTATCAGAAAAATGAAAAACTTTGGGTGATCTTATGGTGATTAAGAACATAATTTTTGGCATATGGATTGTATTTGGAGACTTTAATGTTGTCAGGAGAGCCGAAGAACGAGTCAATTCCCAATTTTTTCATGCTTGTGCCAATGGTTTTAATCAACTCATACCAGAGGCTGGTCTTGTTGACCTTCGAATGGGTGGACACAAATACACGTTCTTTTGTCATGACGATTTAAAGTTAAGTAAGCTGGACAGATTCCTTGTCTGTTCAAACTTCATGAACGCCTTTCCATCAATATCTGTTACGACGCTACCTCGTGAAGTGTTAGATCACTGCCCTATTTTGTTGTCCACTAGTGTAATAGACTTTGGCCCTGATCCCTTTCGTTTATTCAACAGTTGGATGCTCATAGATGGCTTCAAGATAATGGCTAGAAACACATGGACGAGGTTTAAGGGGTATGGTACTGCTGATGCATATCTCTTAGCCAAGTTGAAATTCTTAAAGAATAAGATCAAGAAGTGGAGGGCACTAGAATATCCTAAAGAAATGGATGATCTTAAAAAA